GGGGGGGGGGGGGGGCAAAATCTGATGTGACTACAAATATTGACATTTGAAGGTTCTTTTGCATTGTGAGATCAACAGCTCTAGCCTCTCTAACTGTAATGGGATATTTTGATCATTAACAAGGTTTGGTTGCTGAATGGAAATGAAATGTATTTCCTGTGTCTACAGCCTTACTTGATGCTGATTGACCCCATCTCTCTGGCCGTGTTTGAGGACAGTGGTTGGTACAAGGTGGACTACAGCCAGGCTGACCACTTCATGTGGGGCAAAGGCGAGTTGTTTTTGTTGGTGTTGTTGTTGTTGTTGTTATTGTTTATCTTAAAGTGTTGTGATGTTTGGGACAACTGTGGTGTAGCAGTTAGGCTCTTCGCTGTTCCTTTCAGAGGACGTGAGGATCTAGGATGATACAGATGTATATATGGATGAGAGAGGAATGGGGGCACTTGAAATTTATGGCAATTATTAATATTTTTCATTACGTATATTCATATATATTTGTATAGTACAAATGTGATCTCTCGTTATTATTATTTCTTATATTTTCTTACAGGAAAAGGCTGCTCATTTGGTGCAAAAGGTGTTTGTGAAGATCAAGAAGGCTTCTGCAGACAAAAGTGAGTGTATTTTGTAACTTGAGGTGAATTGCTGTTGTGTATTTGGTTACAAAATGGAGCAATATGTTGAAGTTTGTAGTTTGTTTGAAAACCATATTTTTGAAAGATATTTTATATTTGAAATTTTTACATCGTCTTTGTGACCTCTTTATCACTTTTATTATACCACCCTTTTGAGGTTTTCCAGTGAGTGGAGAGTCAGTCCTTTTTTTCCCCTCTTGTTTGTCTCTGTCTATCTTTCTCCGCTATTGTGTCAGTGTGATCCTCTCTCCCCACAGTAAATATGTAAATATCTATTATTATGTCCTGCCTATATGCTTCTTTGTAGTCTAACTGAACTTAACTAAAACTCTAATGTTGTAGTTATTTTTGATCCACAATCATGAATAAAGCACCCTTTATATGGATTGTCTATTGGTGGAATTTGTGTGCATTTCAGCATTACAGGCTGTCATCATCTTCATTTGACCAAAGCTCGATGCAATGCCAACCTGAGCTCAACAGAGTGCGGAGTCTTTGCTGCCGATCAGGTGTGTTACTTCTCACATACAAGTGACGTCATCTCTATATTCTTGGGTGTTGTCTTTATTGTCTTCAGTTCTCTTCTCTAGTCTGTAGTTGTAGAACTTAAGGTTGAAAGTTTGATGAAACATATCCGAGTAGATTTTCCCCATGACCCTAGAGCTTGTCTGCAGGTGGTTGGCTGTTGCTCTGTTGTGGTTTACTCCTTCCTTACAATCAAACATCTATCGTCCTTATCTCTCCTCCTTGTTTTCTTTGTATGTTACTCTCTCTCTAGTACACCTCTAATCTCTGGCACTTATATGACCTATTTGTGTTGCAAGTGCCGTAAAACTCTATCTAAAACGAAAATGAATCTCTACTCTAATCTGTAGTTATGGTAGTAGCAGAACTCAGGGTTGAGAGATTGAGGAGACGTATTTAAGTAGAATCTCCCAAAGGCCTCAGAGCATGTTCCTCAGTGTTGGTCCTTCAGGCCATAAACCTTGCTCTGTGGGTCTGATGGTTTTGGCATTCTCACATGTGCGGCATAGTGGTGAAGTCAAACACTCATGAAATCCAAGAAGCTGGCATTTTCGTGGCCTTTGGGCAGTTTTTGTTTGTTTCTAATTTTCTTTTTTGGTTCAGCACCTTTTATGTCCATTTAAAAACACTCTTTTGTGTTGATTGTACTGAAAAATGTTCATTAAAGGCACAAAAACTGTAAATTTTCAGTTTTCAAGTACTCACAAGCTATGGAAATGACCAAACTTTGGCTGCCACTTTCTAGCTAATTTTACCTCTGAAAGCAGGTGACCCTCACGTCCTTCAGTGGCAAATGTCCCGACCTCTATTCAACATAGGTTGATACTTTTTTTCACCAAAAGCAAGGCAATAGAATTGGCTTAAAGATGATACCAATAACCCTATATATGCCCAAAAATTGACAAGCGCCTGATTCCTCCACGTCGTGCCACATATTGTTGTGCTTCATGGGGGCAAGCTCGAGAGTCCTCTCATAGATTTTGCGCGGTACTTTACAGGTCTGCTTTTGAGGTGGAACTTCCATTTTTGGAAATGCGCTATATAAGTGTTGTATACTATTATTATTATTAAATCAAAATATTTGCTATTAAATTATCATCATCATCTTTGTTCGTATTATTATTGTTGTTGTTAATATTATCATTATTCTTATTATCTTTATTATTATTGTTATTATTATTATTATCATCATTATTATTATTGTTATTATCATCACTATTATTTGTTGTTGTTGTTATTATTATTATTATTATTATTATTAAAAGAATAAATGTCTACTACTGTAAGGTGCCCGACTCTAGATGGTTAAGATATTGCACTTTGTTCTTCAGTGTTGTCAGAATTTTTTAAATCTCATACAGTTTCCAAGTCTTTAGCTTTACAATATTTGGTGTTAGCTCCATCAGTATATATTTTTATGATTGTTGTTTTTAAAATCATTATCATTATTGATTTAGATATTATAATTGTTATCGTTACTATGCTAACGTCCCTGTGTCTTTTGATGTAACAGAGACCTTGTTTCCGCGAGTCTATACCCTCGTCGGAGGAGGAAATCTTCTCAAGTTCCAGTCGATGCTTCGTGTCAACGTTAAGTCCTTTGCTGAGCACCAGTTCTGTGAGTAGTTTGCTATTTAGTAGCCCTGCTTTTCTTTGAGCGATGACAGTTACATTTGTTCCAGTTATTGTGGCTATTTTACTTGTGGGTGGTTGGGGGGGGGGGGCAATTGGTCAAAGGTTAGGAAAGAAAATTCACAAAGAAAAGCAGACTGGCCAACTTAAGACTACAAACAAAATTGTCCAAGACAGTCACCCATTGTCGAGGAGAAAAGTGGTTGTTTTAGGCAGTTGAACATCTTGGAAAGTTTCATTATAATATGAATAAAAAAAGGAAGTTGGAAGGTTTTGTATGTACAGGTGATTGTCTTGAACATGTCGCCTTTAGAGCAAGTAAGACTGTACTTGCAGGAGACGAAAAAGCTGTCAACTCTACCTTCTTACATAAATTACTTCATGGGAATTTGAAGGCACTTTTTGCTTTCTTTTTTTCTTTTAAGAGTAGATTTATCTAAAAGAGTAAAATGTTCTTTAAATGTCTACAATCGGCCACAGACATCATGAACACAGAAAACTTGAAATCACAAACAGCTCATACAGTTTGATATTCCTTGACTGATATTTGTCTATAATAATAACATGATTATCCATTATCAGTTTACCTGAATTATGAATATGTCAAACACATTTGTAAATCCCCAACGTGTGAGTTATCTGTGCCCTAGTGGGGGGTTTTTTGTCATGTTTGTACACCCCCCCCAGATCCTAGGGTATGTAGGATCAAGCACCTAGTCTTCTCAAATAAGGAGGAAAAATTTTGGAGGTCACTTGTGAAAGCTTCTCAGGTTAAAGATCTCTTGACGGTTCTAAAATCCACATGAGTAGGCTCTTTGGTCCGCCATCCAGGCAAAATAAAATTAAATCCAACCATAACTGTTTTATTTTAGTAGAGATTTTCCAGTGCAGCAACTGCATAAGGTCATATGAGCGCAACCATAACTGAAGCTGCTCAAGACTCAGTTAACATCAAGAAACACCTGTGAAAACAGCACATGGCTGCCCATCAGGCAAGGGATAATTTTACTTTCTGTGTAGGTTAGACAACCAGGTATGTGGGGGAAAAAAACTGAGATATAAACAGGCAAATGCACTGCCAAGCAATAAAAAAAATTGTATAATGAGAAAAATCTATCATAATGTTGTTCTTTTTTTTGGCCCCCATTTGCACCATTTATGATTTTTTAGAAGGCAAGCTTCCTTCCCTGCCTGTTAGAGCCAATCTGGGCTGAGAGGGAAACAACATCTCAGCAGAAAGATTGCTGTGAGATTAAATTATTTCAGTCAGTTACCCCCAGAGCTACAACAGAGGTACACAGAGGAAGAAGACCCATGCTTATTGTTCAAGCATATTAAATCTCTTCCCACAGAGTACTGGTTCCCTGTCAACCAGCGGGAAATGTTATGAACGTCGCTGTGATGGAGATAAGTATTTTGTCAGAGTCAGCAACAGTGACTGGCATCTATGCGCACCCGGTTCTCACATTCAGGTAAGCTTTTTTGTTTTGACTTTCATACACCACTGATTTAATACAAGCCTATTGTAGAGACATAACCTTTGGACAGGATAAATTGGAGGACTATTTTATACTGGCAAAAAAAAAAAATGTCGATTCTGTAATGGGAAAGAGAATAAAATACCAAGCTGCCCTATTTTTTTTCAGTGTCTTTCAACTTGCAGCCAATTATTTGTATCTTGTTTTATCTTATGTCATGAATCTCAGTGGATGGGTGTCTGTGGTGTAGCAGTTATGTGCTCCACTGTGGCACACAGAAGATTTGAGTTCAATTCCTGTGCAGG